TTCACTGAGGGATTTTGCAGCTTGCTCTTTTTTAAATTCTTCTTCCAGGTGGTCTGATACTGCATAAACCCAACCTCTGGGGAGGACAGAGAAGCAGGAGTCGAGAAAGAACTTCCTGGGCAAGAACAGCTGTGGGAATTCACTATCAGGTGTGATTAAAGTGGGGGAGGGTGCAAAGGGGGACTTGCTTTTCGTATTCTTTTGCATCAGTTAAGTCACTCAGTAACTTGGATTGCACTTCCACGTGTTTTTTATGTGATTACTGTGTGAATGCTCATTGCTTAACTTTTGTTTTATGTTTTTGCCCTTACTTACTGAAAGCTGTAAACCCAAATAAATGACAGGTTCAGTAAAAACTCAATCTTGCTTTTGTGTTGCAAAAGCCCATTCAAGGCTTCATAAGCCCCTCAAAATTGATTTTTGGAGCACTGTTATTTAATCTGTCCTTTACAAAACTTCAATGCCTTGAGGAAATCCTTCCTGCCTTATTCCCACCACTAGGCACTTTGACTTCATGGTAAGCAGATAAATATAAGACAAAAACCGTGGTTCAGATTGTTCCCCCAGTCCCTAGTAATTCTCTAACTTGTCTATTCTCTCTTTCTCATTGAATAAAGCCTTCTGTGTAAACACTACTTTTTGTGCTCCTGTGGCACACAGGCTTTTTCCCATCAGTTGCTTGCTCTCCCCCACCTGCTGCATCTGACTCATTAGTTGAGCTTCAGCCTTGCTTCACCTATTCTTTCCCCAAAGAATTTGATTAAAGTTCATGGCACTGTTCTTATGCTCAGCAAACTTTTTCTCCATGCATCTACCAGGTCTGTGTGAGGTTTCCCGAGTTAAGTGGCTCCAACTTCAGTATTTCCTTGCTGGGTTCAGGCTTTAAAAGGAGGTCTACTGCAGAGGTGGCAAAGGGAGTCAGCAGGCTAACTGTGGCCCAGTCAATGTATTAATCCAACCTTCTTGTCAGCTTGCTGTTCCTTTGCCATCTGAGCTGCTGCCAGCCATTGCAACCTTCTGCAGTGCTCCAACACTGCAGATTTTGCATGTGGGACTGGCTGCAAAACAACATCAGCTGTACTCGAGTCAGTTCTAATTGCTGTAAACCATTAATCTGCATGCAAAGGAGGAGGCAGAAGGAAATCCAGTAAAACTGAATGCAGAAAAAAAATTTGTCTTCTGACTTCATGCACCTCGATGTCTGGACTCAAGTACCAGGTGGCCCTGACTGCAGGTTTGGTTTGATGCTGTTGCTGAATTCAGAACATTTGGGCTCAGCCTGCAAGGTGTGACAGGAGGCTTAAAACTGTCCATAGTTTGGGGTTCACTTATCTCAACCCACTTTGAAACAATAGGGTCAAAGTGCTGGTTTTTTACACAAGTTTTACTACCAAATAACCCCATCTATCCTCATTACTCTGTATTTTCTTTATTAAAAGTTTTCCATTAAAGAATTCTAGCTCATCTGCCAGGTAAAGACTGAAGTACTAGCAGTTAAAGCTGGCAGTAAGTAGCTTGATGTAGGTAGTACTGTCTTGCACATTATTTATATGGTAATGGACTTTAACCAATAACTCAGTGGTGATTATGGCATCATTTCTCCTATAATGAAATGTTTGTCCCTACCAGCTGTATAGAAAATCAGCTTAACTATCTTTAAAATGTTGAAATTAAGGACTTCAGTGTTTTTTTTAAATATTTTTTTAATTATTAATTTGACTGCAATCTTTTAGTGATTGCCAGATATCAATTGTGAGATGAACTTTGGTTTGACTGAAATGAACAGCAAAGCATCCGTTGACTTAATTTTAACCCAGAGGAGGTGAAAGGCAATTGGAGAGTTACAGAATTGCAGAATTACAGCTTGGAAGAGAATGTACCAGAGCAGAAGGATTATGACTCCAGCCACAGAGTGGCTTATGGGATTTTGTCTGGTGTCTTTTAAATTTCTTTAAAAAGCTGAAAAATATTGGTAGCTACAATTTGCAGCAGAGCATACATAAGCAATAACAACACAACATGGCACTTCAAGCAAGCTGCATACCTTGTGTGTTAATGTGACATCAGTTCAACAGGCAAGGGACTTCAGCTACCCAAAACCATGGCTATCCTCTATGAAGGGAGTAAAGTGCTGCCTCATTGCTAGTAGGGCATGGGAATAAGTTTAGTAATAAAGGGAAAAGATGGCATCCAGATATTAGTTTGAAAATACTGGAAATATGTTAACAAAGTTTATAAATAATTCCACCTCTGAAAGAAAAAAACAAAACAAATGGTAATTTCTACTGTGGAACAAAAGTCCTTCTGATTTGAAAGAAGTGTCCTCCCACCTGAAGTCCTGTGTATGTAGTGTTTGGACATTCTGAGCAACTGTATGTAGTGTGGGCTTTCTCCTTGGACTTTTCCAGAAAATTGTTGCATTTTAAAACTCTTTCTGATTAAGACTTTTTAACCTTTTTTCTCTTTGGTTGACACTTTTCCAGACATGAAAGTTTTTCAAAACACCAGCAAGAGGACTTTTTAGTGACAAGATTCAGAATTTGAGATGCATGTTTTCCAGCTGTCTCGTTATTTCTGAACGGTCAGTAACATTTTATTCCTTTTTTTACACATGTAAATGTTATTTTGGTTTCACTGAAATAGTAAACACCCCACAAAAGCCGTGTTTTATAACAGTGAAAGTAGCTATTAATGCAGAGATTTGCAATGTGTCACTTTTATATGCCAAATAATAATAATCAGTGTGTGTGTGTGTGTGTGTATGTATTGAGGACATTAATGTATGAATGGTTTTGTAAATAGTTGCCTGGATTTCACTCAGTTTCATTTCCCTTGCTATCCTGTGGACGTGGTAGCTATTCCTGACTTAGACTTGTAAATAACAGGATGATGTTGCCTGTGTTTTAGACATGCAGGTAACTTCTATACAAAGCTTACCATGTGCCATAATGGTGTCAAAATTCCCAGTGAAAAAGTAGTGATCTCTGGGTGTCATCCAGTTCAGTTTGTATTGGATGGCCAACTTGTTTCATTAAATACCAGCTACTTCAAAAGTTCATGCTGACTTGCATCATCACCATCACCAATTTAGCACCTCCTGGTGATCTTGAAATCCTCTAGAAATCTGGCCATTGTCTTTGCTTCTTTTCAATTATATCCTCACACAGGCAGCAGGTAATAGATTTATGACCATGTAACAGTATGTGCCCCTTCATACTAAACGACCAAAACACAAACAGTTGTGACTTAATTAGTTGCAACTTAACATCAGTGTTATGACTGAATGGAGAGAACTCTGGACAGTTCTGCTGGGCTTTTTGTGGTGTGTGTGTCTTCACGTACATATATGCATACATTGATACATATTTAGAAATACAAATCTGTGTGTTAAATGGCAGGAGAAGAAAACAGAAAAAACCCCAAACTGACAAAGCTTCCACTCGGGTTCTGCAAATGTTGTGTTCTCTGCATAGCCTGGCATATGCTAAGCTTTTAAATAAGTGTTTCTGAAGTGCCTTACAACAGTTTAGCTCCATCTGCCATCCAGTTTTTGCTGTAAAAGTGGCCAGCCTGATCATCTTCCATCTCACGAGGCGAGGCAAACTCCTTAAGGCAAAATTTATTGTGAGCAGAAGCAAATTCCTGAAGTCAAATGGGCCAAATAGCTTGTTGACAAAACTGCCAAGTAAACCACCCATTAATTCATTTATTATTATTTAAATAAACCCCAACAAAATAACATTTGGTTTCAGCTACAACATGAAAACACCTGAACCACATTTTTCGCCTATGGAAAACAGCAGAATCTGGAAACTGACGCTATTTCAGGCTAATTACATTTTTTGTTGGGTTTCGGGGGAACTCTCCATAGTAGCAACTGTGGGAAAAACCACTAAATAGTTCTCTGTTTGAACCATCTGTCACGAAGATGGGGACATATGTTCGCGTTGTTTATTCAGGAGCCAAGTGGAAGCCGATACGCCCGGCTCCG